TGGCCAACACAAAATAAACTCAATGATATTTTTGTAAACTTTTTGTTTTGGCTTTCTTTGTTTTGATTTTCATCTTTGTGGGGTTTTTTTGTTCGTGCTTTTTATTGTTGTTAATTTTATTTTTGTTTCCTGTTTATTTTTTTGGGGTGGCATAAAATTGGGTGGGTAGGGTCTGGGAGGAGTTGGGGTAGGAGAAACATGATCAAAATATATCATACAAAGAAAAATTTTAATTAAAAAAATTGAAGACCACCCAGAGTGGGAGTGGTTCATGTCTTTAATCCCAGCACTCGGAGGCAGAGGCAGGTGGATCTCTTGTGAGTTCAAGGTCAGCCTGGTCTATAGAGTGAGTTCCAGGATAGGCTCCAAAGCTACATAGAGAAACCCTGTCTCAAAAAACAAAACAAAACAACTGAAAGACCTAGCTATGTGGGAAAATGCCCCAAGTTTATGGACTGGGGTAATCAATAAAGTGGCAATATTCCAGCAAGCCTACAGATTCAATGCAATGTCTACTAAAATTCTGTCTGACTTTAATATTTCAACTGTTTTTATTATTATGTCTGTTGTGATAATCTGTGTTATACCTGGTTTAGGACACCAATAACTGTGATATATAACACAGCAAAGCAACTGGTGTCACATGGGTTCTGACTACTCTGCTTACCAGGCAAAACCACGACCTTCTCCTCTCCCTCCTCTCCCTACTTGTGTTCACAGTATCAAAATTAGGCCACTCACAGCCCTGCATGGCCCTGAACTGTTCAAATGAATGGAAGTCACTGATCTCTTCTAAATCAAAAGCCAGAAACAATTCCACGCTGTGAGGAAGGCACACAGAAAGCTGAGACAGCTGGAGATAGAACTAAATGGCTAGCCAGACTGCACAGGCAAAGACAAGTTCTTGAGGGGAATTAAAAGTGCTACTCTCTCGGGCACAGGGATGACAGGATAGGGACAAGCTTGTGGCAGAGGGTACACTGGTGAAGACAAAAGTTCAAGCTGCTGCCTCCTCACAAACCAAAGCCTAATCCAGAACAAGTCCCTAACTTGTTTTAACTCTACAGTGACTAAGGGGGGTGAGGAAAGCTGCAGAAGGAAAGTCTGAAGCTGGCTGATGTTGGTCCATGAAGTTTAAACAATGTGTAAGTTCAAGGTCTGCTCTAGGACCACAGCAATGCAGCTGATCTAGTTAAGATAACAGATGATGGGTGGCCACACTCCACTGAAGATTCCCAATGTAAACAGGAGTGAAGAAGAAGAGGCCCAGGCCTTTCTGCAGATAGGGAAAAGTCAGTTCCAGGTTCCAAGGCTTGCCAGGGATGCTTGCCTGTCCTGTTAGGGGCCAGAGTAGCTGCTGACTTTAAACAAAAGGGCAGCACTCACCTACCGTTTGGAAAATCCTGGGGTTCTGTAAATGTGCTCTGGCTGTACCCCACAAATGGAACAACAAAGCCAGGATGAGGACACAGCTGGTTATAAGGTCATTTAGGGAATATTTAAGCCCACTGTAGAGATCTGCTGCTCATCTGGAATGCCCCGATCATGGAAGAGTGCTGATATAGACAATGAAATGTGTATATTTTCATGCCTGCTAACACAATATCCACCCTGCAGCTCATGCATCAAGATGTGTCAACTTCCAACTCTTAGGACTTAAGAAATGCATTTTGTAAAGCTACAGCTGCCAGACAATTCTTGCCATGGATCTGAGAGAAAAAAAACAAAAACAAAAAACAAAAAACAAAAAAACCCTCTGGAAAAAAGTTATCATTTTAGATAATGCCAAGCAGAGGCTGAAGCGGAAGGATAGAGGGGCTCCAGGATTTCCAGAAGGTAAATGGGCACTGGGTATAGCTCATCACCAACTACATCAGCCCCTAACAAGGGATGTGTAAAACACTTATTTGTCTCAGATGTAGCACATGTTTTGTAAGGTAAAAATAAAGAACTGGTCAAGAAAACATGAACAGAAGCAGGTGATGTATATTTATTTGATATTAAGAAGCAATAAATTGCATAGAAAATACACAAATTTAATTACTGTGAGCAATAAATTATTTTCTCTAAAAAAATATAACTGTTACAAATCAAATCTTGAGATACATACATCTTGGACAGGGGGTTCATCCTGAGAACACAAGGCTGATTCAGTACTAAAACCCAATAAAGGTTCATAAAACAATGTTCTAAGAAAAAAAAAAAAAACATGGCCATTTAAGATTTAACTAGAATCATCCTGTGTGAAGTAACCCACAGAAAGACAAATATTACGTATTAACTTATATATGGATTTAATTCTAAGTCAATGATAACCAAGTTGCAAACTACAGACCACAGAGGTTAGGTACGGAGTAAGGGACTGGGGGTATGGATGTTGTGGGATATTTGATCACACTGTTAAACCTGAGCATGTGTTTGCATAAATTAAATAAAATCAGGGCTAGGAGATGGAGCCAGCAACTAGTGGACAGAAAATAATCCTAGAGAGTCAGAAGGAGTCTGGAAGATGGATAGAGAGATGCACAGGAAGTAGTAGGGAGGGACTTTGAGTGTGGCAGTCATTTTTTTGGTTTGGTGGAACAGAAGGATGTTCTCTTTTCTGAGATGCCAGCAAAGAGGGAAGGTCAGCTAGTTGTTCCTCAACCTCTCTGAGCTAGCAGATTTTCACCCCAGCCTCTGACTCCTGAGTCTTATTGATAAATAGAATAATAGAGATCTAGTTAAAAATCTACATTTAGTGTCAGTGGCAGGAGGCAGATCTGGCCTGGGATATAAAAGTCTGTCTGCCAGGATCAGAGCTGAGGTGCTCCCGCTTGTACATCAAGTGATCTTTCCCCAGTGAGTCATCTCTCTACCCCTGCAGCCCACATATTTTCAACACATATATCCCTAACTTACAACCCAATAATCTCACTGAGATCTTTATTCAAGGAAAATGAAAACGACTGTTCATACAAAACCCTGTCTGAATATTAACAATGGTTTAACTTTAAAGTGGTAAAACATAGTACACTCTAAATGTTTCTCAGCTGGCCAGTGCATAAAACTCTGCTGTGCCCCTTTCAATGGACTCTTACTCAGCAAGCAGCCCTGGGCACACAATATGGATAAACTTCAAACATCACATTTGGCCTCAGAAATGGTACTCACATCTCCACTGTAAGATTCCCCACATCTGGCATTCAGGCTTTCCTGAATGTACAGAGAAGGAAAACAGATGGGTATTTGCCAGCACTTGGCAAAGGGTAGGACTGACTGAAGTGCCAAGGAGAAAGTTGTGGATAATTACAATTTCTTCTCTTCCACTTGGTGCTGACCTCACATCTGTATAGGTTAAAACTCCAGCTGTACACAGCAAAGGGTGGATTTCAGAGTACACAAATTACACGCCAAGAGCTTCAACTGTGAGAAATTAGAGTGTAAACAAAACTTAAAATTATAAAAACCTTTGACATAGGAGCTAAATGAAAACAGTTTTTAAATTTCTGTGGTAAACTGTTTTGGTATACTTGGATTCTAACATTTCAAAAAGCTTTACTAAATTATTCTGTATTTAAAAATAGATTTAAAGATCATACCGTTAGGATCATAAGGAATAAAATCTCAATCATTCCAATGGATTATGAAAGTTTCCATAACACTTTTAGCTTTAATTTCTTTCTTTCTTTTTTTTTTTTTTTTTTTCGTTTTTCGAGACAGGGTTTCTCTGTGTAGCTTTGCACCTTTCCTGGAACTCACTCTGTAGCCCAGGCTGGCCTCGAACTCACAGAGATCCGCCTGCCTCTGCCTCCCGAGTGCTGGGATTAAAAGCGTGCGCCACCACCGCCTGGTTCTTTTTTTTTTAAAGATTTGTTTATTTGTTATTATATAGAGAGTGCTCTGCTCCATGTATACCTGCACACCAGAAGAGGGCACCAGATCTGATTATAGATGGTTGTGAGCCACTATGTGGTTGCTGGGAATTGAACTCAGGACCTCTGGAAAATCAGCCAGTGCTCTTAAAATCTGAGCTGTCTCGGCCGGGCGGTGGTGGCGCACGCCTTTAATCCCAGCACTCGGGAGGCAGAGCCAGGTGGATCTCTGTGAGTTCGAGGCCAGCCTGGTTCCAGGAAAGGCGCAAAGCTACACAGAGAAACCCTGTCTCGAAAAACCAAAAAAAAAAAAAAAAAAAAAAAAATCTGAGCTGTCTCTCCAGGCCAGCTTTAATTTCTTTCTTTTTTTTTTTTTTTTTTTTTTTTTGGTTTTTCGAGACAGGGTTTCTCTGTGTAGCTTTGCGCCTCTCCTGGAACTCACTTGGTAGCCCAGGCTGGCCTCGAACTCACAGAGATCCGCCTGGCTCTGCCTCCCGAGTGCTGGGATTAAAGGCGTGCGCCACCACCGCCCGGCTAAACCTAGGGATAGCTTTAATTTCTTAAAGTCCTAAAATAATGCTAAGTCTCTCTTGGTTTGGGTCATCTGATAATTCAAGGAAATGACAGCATGTTTTCTTTTTGATAAATATTTGTCCCATGCTAGAGACTGTAGATGTAACGGTCTTATTAAATAAGAAACACAGCGGCAAATGCAGAGTTAAAAGCCCAAGAGGTCAGAGGAGTAGTTAAGAGCTGAGACTAAAACCACCTTCTTACCCCTTGCTGCCGCCATCCTTCCCCTCAGAAGGAGACCTACTTCCTGTGTGTCTGTCTTTTATTGACTTTCTGTTCTGCCTTCTCATTGGTTGTAACCCAACCACATGACCTCCTCGTCACTGCCTGTCTATACAGACCTCCAGGTCTCTGTGGTTGGTATTGAGATTAAAGGCATGTGTCTCCAAGTTGGCTGTGTCCTTGAACACACAGACTCTGCCTGCCATGTGATTGGATTAAAGGCGTGCGCCACCACCGCCCAGCTTCTGCTATGGCTTGCTATTAGCTCTGACCCCCAGGCAACTTTATTAACATACAAATAAAATCACATTTCAACACAAATAAAATATCACCATAAGAGACTTCAAGAAACAACAGATCTTTAAGTAGTCAAGTTGTTAATGCAGGGTTCAAATTGTATTCATGGGAACTCTCAATGTTAAGATTTACATATAAATCTTGAAAATAGCTCTCTTGTTTTGCAGTCTGCAGCCAAAAGGGTCCTGATCCTTTAGCTAGTCCATCTGCTTCAACAAAGGTGACTCCTAGGAATCACACATCAGCATGTTACACATCAGTTGTTAAATGCAGATCCCTAGAACTAAAAGCTTGGGTATGAGCCTCATGAATCTGCTAAACTCTAAGAAATTCTTATGCCCACAAACATTTGAGAACTCTTGACATCCATCATAATAAATGGGGGTTTCCTGGCCCTGGTAGTGATTACAATGACCAATTCTAAGAACAAAATGAAATCTGAAAGCAATTAGTTAAATTCTTTCTGAAAACCAAGTTTTGTTAGGATGGTATCCTTGAATGAAAACAGGAAAAGATTCACTTAAAACAGCATTTCACTTTCTATAGAGGTGATGTATGCTTGGACAATACTCTTTACAGTCGTCATTTTCTATCTCCCAAGAGGAATGCTAGTGTGCCCTTTCTTTCAAAACACATAATGCAGGCTTTGTGCATGTGCAGTGAGTACAAGAGAGGAGTTCCCTAGCTAACACATCTGCATTTTTTTAAAACTCAATACAACACTTAGTTTTAAACCCAAAGGACCTTAAGTGTGAGAATAGTTTACGTAGCACTTTAATAGGCATCCATTCCAAGTTGCATAAAACCCATAAAGTATTTTAAAACATCTTTAAAACTAGCTATCAATCTCTAATCACTCCTGAGTACTTTTCCTTATAAAAATTTGTGGTATGGAATAACTTTAAATTCACCTAAATATTTATCTTTCTTAATTTTCCCTGAAAAAAATTGCTGCATTTATTGCATTTTATTAAGGAAACATCACAGGTGTTAATCTTAGTTTTCCCTCCTTTTTATATTGTGTGTGTGTGTGTGTGTGTGTGTGTGTGTGTGTGTGTGTGTGTGTGTGTGTGAGAGAGAGAGAGAGAGAGAGAGAGAGAGAGAGAGAGAGAGAGAAAACTGCCACTCAAGCTATTTTGGCTATGTACACATTACAACTAATCAGTTTAAATGGAAAATCTGGCTAAATTAAAACACAGTTTGCTCTTATAAGCCATATTGACTGATAAAGCAATCAGTAACACAAATCTTGAAAAATAACATAATTTGTTTACAATGCAAAACACAAAAGAAAAAATAAGTGCTGACTACTTGAAATCAGGAACAGACGGGGAGTTTTCAATGTATCATGGCAAGCTCTAGCGAGTATTTTGAAAATACAACAGTAGAAAAGAACATGATTTGGAATGGGAGACTAGCTCAGTTTTGACAATTCCCTGTTACCTTTAAAAGTCACTAGAACTTTTTGAGTCTCACTCTTCATAATGGGTACCCAAACAGCTGACACTTGAGCAGGACAAGTCAGTAGTACTGGGTTCTAGGACATCTGAATTACATTGTGTTCACTGCCTCAGCAAACTCACAGTTAAACAAAAACCTCAGGACTTACCATTGTCCTGACCTGTGAGTGGAACCACTGGGCCAAACATAGAACAGGTTAGTAGTTTACAGAAACAAATTTCCCTCTGCTGCTTTCGCAACTCTGCCTTAGTTTCCTGGTTACTATGTTCTGACTGTGGCCATCATTAGCCCTCTGTGGTATGTGCACACAGGATGACTGACACCTCGGTAAACAATGACTGTCAGCGCCTCACCCTTTGGTATGCAAATGAGAAACTCAATATTGGCAGATTCACCAGGTACTTCCCTCCAGTGGTAATAAGCAACCTATGTTGTTTACAATAAGGAGAGTCTAAAACTAAACTATGGGATTAGCTTCTACTAGATTTTTAAGTACTTTTTAAGGAAAACACTTACCTCCTATTCCTATTCCAAAAACTTATGTAGTAGTTACAATTCATTTACTGGTGTCTCTAGACTATACACTATAGATATGAGATAGATCATCGAATCTACTCTGAGAAAAAAGATAAAGAAATAATAGGAAAATTGGGTAGATCACTGAATCTACACTGAAAAGAAAAAGGGGAAGATATAAAAATGACAAAAGGTAGACTACTGAATCTATTATGAAAAGAAAAAAGATAGAATATGGATGTGATAAGATAAAAAGGTCAATTATTGAATCTACATTTTAAAAGGAACTACTTGTTTTAAATAGGGTAAGTAATGAAAAATTTTTGTCTGTGTTTATCAAATGTTACTGGACTGGACATTGTTAATATATATAATGGAGTTTTTTGTCTGAATCTGTCAAATGTTAATGGACTAGACATCATTAATGTAATCTTGACTGTGTATATTGTACATACTTATTGGATAATTTTTCTTGTATTAGTTATAATTTTTTTTAATGTTAGACAAAAAAGGGCAAATGTGGTGGTATAGTGTTCCCCAAAATATTGTGCACCCTAATAAATTTATCTGGGGTCAGAGAACAGACAGCCACTAGATACAGAGGCTAGAAAATGGTGGCACACACCTTTAATCCTAGCATTCCAGAGACAGAAATCCCTCGATCTCTGTGAGTTCAAGGCCACACTGGAAACAGCCAAGCATGGTGACTCACGCCTTTAATCCCAGAAAGCAGCCTTTAATCCCAGGGAGTGAGGCAGAAAGAGAAAGATATATAAGGCGTGAAGACCAGAAACTAGAAGCATTTGGCTGGTTAAGTATTTGGCTGGTTAAGCTTTCAGGCTTCTAACAGCACAGTTCAGCTGAGAGCCATTCGGATATGAGGACACAGAGGCTTCCAGTCTGAGAAAACAAGACCAGCTGAGAAGTTGGCCAGGTGAGGTTAGCTGTGGCTTGTTCTGTCTCTCTGACCATCCAGCTTCACCCCAATACCTGGCTACAGGTTTGTTTTATTAATAACAACTTTTAAGATTCCTGCTACAATACACTCCAGACTAAATAGACAGGTACTACTTCCCCTTACTGCAATAATAGCCTGGAGTAGGTTAATTTATCATCATCACCATCATCATCACCACCACCATCATCATCATTTTGAGACAGGGCCTCTCATCATTATCACCACCACCACCATCATCATCATTTTGAGATAGGGTCTCACCATCATCATCATCATCATCATCATCATCATCATCATCATCTTGAGATAGGGTCTCTGGCTGTCCTTGAACTCACTATGTAGACCAGGCTAGCCTTGAAGTCACAGAGATCTGCCTGCCTCTGCCTCCCTGAGTGCTGAGATTAAAGGCATGATGACTATGCCTGGCTTGACAATTCTTAAAACAATACAAAACATTCACCTTTGGCCAAGAGCAGCTTATCAACAGAAGAATGGAAAATGTTTAGGGCTGGTGATTTTCAATGCTATGGAATGTAGGGACACAGTTCTCTTGTGACTCATCAGTCAGTAGCACCTCACTGGTGAAAGGCTGGAAGTGAGAGGCCATGTGTAGTTGTTTTTTACTCTTTGGGGGCCCACCACCCAGCTCCCAAATACATACACAGAGACTTATTCTTAATTATGAATGCCCGGCTTTAGCTTGGCTTATTTCTAGCCAACTTTTCTAACTTAAATTATCCCGTCTACCTTTTGCTTCTGGGCTTTTACCTTTCTTTATTCTATATACCTTTCTTCACTTATTACTTCATGGACGGTTGTGTGGCTGGGTGGGTGGCTGGCCCTTGGTGTCCTCCTCTCCTCCCTTTTTCTCAAAATCTCCTCCCTTCTCCTCCGATTTATTCTCTCTGCCTGGCAACCCCACCTATTTCTCTCTCCTGCCTAGCTACTGGCCATCAACTCTTTATTAGAACAATCAGGGGTTTTAGACAGGCAAAGTAACACAGCTTTACAGAGTTAAACAAATGTAACACAGGAGCTGGAAAAATGGCTCAGAGGTTAAGAGCACTGATTGCTCTTCCAGAGGTCCTGAGTTTAATTCCCAGCAACCACATGGTGGCTCACAACCATTTGTAATGAGATCTGGTGCCTTCTTCTGGCCTGCAGTCATGCTGTATACATAATAAATAAATAAATCTTTTTAAAAATGTAACACAAAAAAAGCAGCACATCTTTGCATCATTAAACAAATGTCCTGCAGCATAAAAGGATGTAACACATCTTTAACTAATATTCCACAACAGTCATGCTGTATAACTTATTTCACATGCTTTCCAGGCGAGGGACTGGCAGAGCTGGGCCATGGAATACTTACATAAATGGTGATAGATGTTTATTTTGATGAAAGAATAAAAATAAAAAAGATGATGCAGTATTTTTGATGTCAGAAATTGAACAATAAAACCAAACTTTTAAGTCTAGTTTTCTCTTTGTTACATATATATTTGAAGTCAACCAAAACCTCTTATTGCATATAATATTATTCATATTCATAGACCACCAAAGTGATAGAATGGCAAGAAGTAGATGCCTGGTGGTACATCTGTCATCCCAGCCCTGGGTAAGCTGAGGTGGCAGGAGTGAGTCCAAGGGCAGTCTAAAGGGCACCATGAGACATTGTCTTAGCAAATAAGCAGACAGCAAAAAAACAGAACTAATGAATTTACTAGGAGCTGTGAGACAGACCTAAAGCAGCTGGTGGTCACCTGCACTGTTTGTGAGGGATGGAGGGGTGGGAGCGGCTCTGCTCTTCTTCCCTCTTTCCCAGGCTACTCTCTACAAGGTTTCCTGTAAGCATCAGCCACACCACTCCCCCAGTCAGATTTCATGACTTTTCTGAACTTTCTCTCCTGTTCTTACTGTATTACTCCTCTGCAGTCATGTTGTAAGCCCAGGGTCTCTGTTATTATTCCTAGCCACTTCTAGAGTCACATGACCTTGCATTCGCTGTCAGTGGTCAGGCAAAATGCTTAGTCACTCCAGAGCCTTACTACATAATCTGAGCTCAGGAGGTCACATAATCTATGCGCATGCATGGTGTAGCTAGAAGGCCCACAGTTTCCCCTCCGATAGGCCTACTCATGACTATACTTTCCCTTCCCTAATAAAAACTCTTATAATGGGTTCTATTGTACCTCGTGTTCTCTTGAGCCCGGTAAACACCACCAACAAATAAATAAGTCTCCCCTTTTACTAATAACTACCACTTCTAGCCATCTGCTCAAAAACTGCCTGGGGACCCATATCTTTAGAGTTCTTGCTGATAGAAACTCTTGGTTCTTATAGTTAAATAAAACTTGTTCACATAAGTCATGGTTTTCTAAGAGGTGCCTTTAAGGGGTGGGTACTAAAATGCAGTGATGTCATAGTTTTGTTTTCTGTTTTGCTTTCAGACCAGGTCTCATGTAGCCTGGGCTGGCCTCAAACTCACAATGCAGCCAAGAACGACCTTCAACTCCTGATTCTCCTGTCTTTACCTCCAAAGTGCTGGGATTACAAGTGTGTGCCAGCAGGCTCCACTCCTAAGACAGTTTTGAAAGGATACTATGTTTAATATAAGGATATTAATGACCTCTGTACTGGATGGTTTTATGTCAATTTGATACAAGCTAATGTCATCTGAGAGGAGGGAACCTCAATTAAGAACATCCTTCCATAAGATTAGGCTGTAGGTAGACTGTATGACATTTTCTTAATCAGTGATAGATAGAGGAGGGCCCAACCTATTGTGAGGAGTGCTATCCTTGGACTGGTAGTCCTGGGTTCTATAAGAAAGCAGCCTGAGCAAGCCATTAGGAGCAAGCCACTAAGTAGCACCCATCCATGGCCTCTGAATCAGATCAGCTCCTGCCTCCAGGTTCTTGTTTGAGTTCCTGTCCTGACTTCCTTCAATGATGAACTGTGATGTGGTGTTTGTTCACAGCAATAGATATGCACTGACTAAGACAACCTCTTTAGGTAGGCTAGCCCTAAATATTCGAGATCTTTTCATTTCTCTTTTCCCTCCTTCCCCAAACTGTGTCAGTTTCCTGACAATTCTCTATAAAGAATTACTGAAATAATTCTTATGATTACCCATCAACTGAAAATAATTTCTAATTTTAGAGGATACATCATTTCCCAAGCCTAAATAGTAAATGTATTTTTATTTATTTTGTCCCACTTGGTCTAAGACCCTAATGTAAAAACAGAAATTACAAACTGGACAAATAACCCAAGTGTTACATTTAATTGGTAAAAATAAAACAAAGCCAGTCCTAAGGCCATAAGCACATACACATCCAATTTTTGCCACCTGAATTATGCACTTTACAATTACACAGAGAATGAGGGGTAGCTTGCACTGATCAATGGCACCCGTCATTCATCCAGCTCTAAGAACAGAAGGGAAAGAGCCTTCGGTGCTATGGAAGTTGCCTATCTATACAGAGTTACAGCATCAGAAAGACCAGTATTGCAGTAGTGTCTGCTCAGCCAACACATGTAATTAGTTAGTGCCAATGGGCTGGTACTGAATGCAGTATCGGAGCCAGACAAGCAAGGCACTGGCACTAATTACCATGTTCTCTGCGAACCAATGACTTGTTTCCTCTGAAAAACGAGGGCAGTGCTACTCTTTCCTGTTCGTTCTCTTTTGTGGTTTTCGACCAGGCTGTTCCCAAACTCCTGGGCTCAAGCTATCTTCCTTCCCTGGGAGGACAGGCTCACACCACCACATTTAGAACTGGGGAATTGTGGAGAGTTGGAGGATTAACTGACATAGCCAAAATTACCTGAAGATACCTAGTCAACAGCCACTGCCACTCACCTCTGTATCTGACTTAATGTCCTTTGACTGTCAGGTAAAACCTTTGGAAGGTATTAACTTGATAGACCACTAGTTTCCACCACCCCAAAGGCTAGGAGTGTGCTCAGCTATCATGAGACCTATAGAAGGGACCCCTGCCTCAAGGCAGCTGCCTACTCACTGTCCTCACCAGTGGATTTGGAAGTGTCTTGATTTCCTTCTTTTGTTCTGTGACTATAAAGTTAATGTAAACACTTCCATGGGGGAACATGCCATACAGGGCAACTCGAGTCTAAGTCCTTAGCTACAGGCACTCATATTTAGCTCAGAAAAAAGACTATCTCTTATTTCTGTTGGAGTAAGAGCTGTGTTCTGCACTGGTTTCCTTTTAAAAGCATGATGATTGACTGAGGCTGTGGGAGAAGGATCACGTATTTAAGACTAGTCTGGGATATATAAGGACTTCCAAACTAGCCTGAGCTACATAGTGAGACCCTATTTCAGAAAAATTGAAACTAATTCACTAATCAGAAGAAACATAGGGATTAGTCTATAGAGTACAATTAAGGTCTTAGTGTTAGAATCTGATTAGAAAGGAAGAGCTCCTGGTGTGGCACCCCACCTCTGTGACCCCAACACCTAGGAGTGGGGAGGAGATCAGAGGTTCAAGGCAAATCTGTCTCAAAAGACCAAACTAAAGGGAAGGCACAGGTCCCAAGAATATGGTGGCATGAAGTTCTTGGCAGCAACTCATGCTCTCTCTCTCAATGTCTTCCAAATATGATTTGTTTTGGCTTCTCCTGCCTTATAGAAGCCTCCTCCCGCCCCGCCATCCCCTATTCTTAACACTGCAGCAGACAGATCAACTCCTCAAAACAAGAGGATTAACCCTATAATCTTTTTCGTTTTCACTTTCCATTTATGTGTAAAGCGTGTGAGCTGACATGATGAGCTGCTGGAGCCCACAGAACCCACAAGAGGCTATCACATCCCAGCACAACTGGAATTACAGGTGCATGAGCCATTGCATGGGTCCTGGGAATGGAACCCAGGTCCTCTGCAAGAGCACTAAGGACTCTTAACCATGGAGCCATCTCTCCAGCCGCTCTTTATTTGTTAAACCACAGGATTATCCATCTCTGGTCCAACAGACATGTCTGCGAACAGCTGAGATGAGGTACAACAATAACTTTAAAAGGAATTGTAAAATTTATCCAATGCAATTAAGTATGAAGTAAGGCCAAGAGATCTTATAAAGTAATTGTTCTAAAGGGTGTCAAGAAATTTTGACACCTTTTAAATTTACATTAACGGTTAAAAGATTTTGCCCCTTTCTCAAGAGGTACAAGAAGGCCAGAAATGAAATGAATTCTGTTTTTTAAATGCCCTGGGCCAGGGGGATTATATGTTTAACTCAAGACAAAGTAAAGCACAGGGAGTTTAGATTCAAATGCAAATTCACCTAATCCCAAAGCCCTATTTCCCTGTTCTCTCACAGCCCAGCACTAAACCTTCCAAAGGTCCCTTCCCTCCACTCAACAAAAGCTTGGGGCGTCATTAAATCTTCAAATGTCACCAATCTTGTTTATTGAAATAGTCTGGAACTGTGAACTGCATGTACTTGTAGTTTAACATATTCTGCTTAGAACCACCCTGTGCATTTCTTTTTAAATATGTGTATTTATAGAAAGACAAATAGGTTTTACTTTTAGATTGTGAAATGCCTTTTGTTTCAGGTAACCAAGCAACATTCTTGTAAAATTTAAAAAAAACAAAACTTTAAAATATTTAATTATTAAGAGAGAGAGAGAGAGAGAGAGAGAACACCTGTGTACATGTGTACTCATGAGAATGTCATAGCACCAGGACCACCCACCAAGCAACCTTTCCCCGAATCAGGTTAGACACGTTATAAAGCAAATACCCACATTTCTATTAGAATTTCTAAGCTACTTCTCTTTCTCTTTTCATCCATTAAGCAAAACCACCAGTAATAACGCATTAGCCCATGTTTAACTTTGTCCTAGTATTACAGAAGAAGCTGACATAGAATAGGCAGCCAATTACAGCCTGGGGCCTGGACTACAGCTGGATGCACTCAACTAATTACTTAAGATATTCAATACTTGATCATGATTTAGTTTGTGCTAGATGATTCTGCTCTACTATAGGCTAGAGGTGCAGAGCAATTTAAGGTACATAAAGGGAAAATATGATATGATGATACACTCAGTGTATTTTCAAGCTGAGGTACTTCCATTTATACGATGGGTTAATTAGGATCTAAGTTGAGGAACATCTGTGTATTTGGACTATAAATCTTAACAAAGGATAATTTTTCTCAGTGGTTGGCTTGAATAAAGTATTTAACATTTTAAATTAAGTTTCACTGTCAGCATCACCAACAGATTCAAATTCCTTACAATATGGGGTATAGTTTAATACACAGTGAAACAAAGCAGATACGGGTGAAGTATATTCCTACAACACTACAGTCACGGACTGGACTGTGAAATGCCTAATGTGCCACATGTCAGTATAATCAGAAACTCATGGTGTTCTAAGACTAGACAGTTGACCCCATGAGTAATGCTTTTAGATTACAAGAATTTAAAACATTCTAACCAAAAAGGTGCCTTGGATTAAGGACTATCTTAAACTTCCATAATCCAAGTTACAGCAGGTATAGGAAGGCCCTTATGTGAAAAATCCTGCTGATACCTAAAAGGCAGCACATCCTTATGTCCAAAGACAGAGACAGGAGGAACTGAACACATAAGCCACACACTACCACGACAGGCCACCCCTGCCCACCGGCTTATGACTCACTGCTACACTGCTTTGTTCTATTACATCCCCCCATGGCTTCCCACATTTCAGCATACCTGGTGTGAAACACTCCTGTTTAATCCTCTTCTTCCTTTTCCCTCCCCCTTTCCTTCTTCGTTTCTGGAGAGAGGACTGAACTATGTATCACAAGCTGGCCTAGAACTCCCTGTGTATTTTAGGTTGGCCTTGAACTTGTGATCCTCTTGCCTCAGCTTCCCAAGTGCAGGGTTTCCAAGTGTAGGCCTAGCTTGGACTTAACCATTTCTTCATTTCCTTATGAAGGTTGCCATGCTATATAAAATGTGTATCAATTACATTTGCAGGTTTGGGTCTTGTTCTGCTTTAGATACTGAATCCTAGCTAAGATCCAGAAGGGCAGATGAAAAAGGCTTTTCCTCCCTTGTCTTCCTGGAGCTCTGCTTTGACAAGTATTTCTCAGGCTCCTGTGAGCTATACTTTCCTTTGCATTTGCTTGAACTTCCTTATTCTTAGTGATTTCCCTTAATGACTGTCTTAGTCAGGGTTTCTATTGCTGTGAAGAGACACCAGGACCACGGCAACTCTTATAAAGGAAAACACTTAATAGGGTGGCTTACAGTTTTAGAGTTAGTTCATTATCATCATGATGGGACACAGCAGCATGCGGGCAGACATGGTTCTGGAGAAGGAGCTGAGATTTTTACATCTTGATCAGCAAGCAACAGGAAGTGATCTGTTCCCACTGGACTTGGCTTGAGCATATATGAGACCTCAAAGTCCATCCCCACAGTGGCACACTTCCTCCAACAAGGCCAAACCTACTCCAACAAAGCCACACCTCCAACAGTGCCACAGTGCCAATCCCTATGAGCTTATGGGGTACAATTACATTCAAACCACCATAATGACTTATCTGTATTTTGTATTTATATAATACCTCATTTCCTTCATTCTGAGGTTGTGACATGACCTTCAGTGTGATAGACAACAGGCCCTGAGTCTTCTTTAGCTCTCATCTCCCTTGATAGAACAATGGATCACATGAGACAGACGAGGAATAACCACTTCTAGAGAAGTTTGCAAGTGATCTTTCACATAGTGGCATGCTCCTAACAAAGACAAGCACACAGGACACAGCACAGACTACCGAGACTAGAATACAAGTAATGGACATAGAAGAAACAGTTAAGTGACTTCATCTGTTACAATGTCTGCTAAAAGGCAACACTGTAATGTCCATTGTGTATTCTTCAAATTGCTTTGGGAGAAAAGCTGTCAGGGGGAAATGGAAAGCAGTGGTGAAACCTTACACATTTTATAGGAAAGGCACCTTATAGGAAATGCTCTGAAATCACATACCTTGTGTTTGGCTTACTAACTAAAAGTACAAGACTTACTACATAGCTAGTTTTTAATTGCTACCTAGAAAACAATGATCCATTCATGGAAAGCTAAAGTTGGATGCTCTAACCACCTACCTTACAGCTTAATTTCCCTGCTGCCAATTTGGATGACTTAGCATAAGATTCAACAGGCTTGTTTATAAGTGATGGTTTATGGTTTTATAATTCTGGGGATTGAATTCAGGATGTCAGCATACTAAGCACACACTCTCCCACTGTGCTATACCCGTAGCCACTGGAAGGATTTTCTTTAGCAGATATGCCAGAGAACAGGAAGAAAACACTGAAAAAATAATCAAGACATGTATAGCACTTTCTAAAAGACTCAGCAATACTTACAATGAAAAAAAAGTACTGAGAAAGCAATACAGGGGAAAAAAAACCCTAAATAGCTAATTTAGTTTTGACCCTTTCTTGAGGCTTTTTAACAATATCAAGAAACACGTAGGTATGCAAAATAAATAGCCAAAATTAAAACATCCACAGCTATTAAATATCCTTTTTCTTTGAGATGGGCTGTCTGGGAACTCACTATGAAGACCAGGTTGGCCTTGAAGTCACAGAGATCCACCTGCTTCGGCCTTCCCAGTGAGAGCTGGAATAAAGGTATGTGCTACCATGCCCACCACTATTAAATATTCTTAAGTAAACAAAATCTCCAAACCTGGAGTTCTAGATTTGTGAAAAGGCTAAAATAGTTTTCACTGGAAATTAACACCCTGCGATAACCTCTACTGGAGTCAGATGGCTATCACAAACTCCTCCGACTTCCTCCCATTAAGAGGGAAGGCACGTGCAAGCAAGATGGTGGGTCAGGAACTATCTGTGTGACCTGGCCCCCAGGAACAGCCAACAGCCCTCACACACCTCAAACCCAGTCTCCAGCAGATGGGTCAGTGGTGCAGACGAATCCCATTTTTTGTCACACTACATCACTTGGAGTGCAGTGGCCAAGGGCCACCTTAAGAGGGCAAGTACTTAAAACTGGGCAACTGTGGGCAGCTGAGACAGAGAGCTGCCACAAGGCAGAGAGGCTAAATTAGCCCACCATGGTTCTATGGTCAGAAACAGTCCTATGGGTTGGTTGTGGAGAACAAGGAAGCCTGGCCCAGGAACAGAAGGGCACAGAAAAAAGCATCCCTTCTCTCCTGAGTCCTGGACCAGATTTTATCAACTGACAGTAACCCTGGAAATTGACAGTCCTGGTCAACCTCTAGAGCAACTCACCTGTCATTCACTGCTTTAAAGCTAGAGAGAAGCAGCCCGGGTGGAATACCTGACACACACCTGCAGCGTGACTGATTACTTCAAAGGCTTAAAGGAGACTTTTGTTCAGACTTCAGGGCTATGCGTGCTTCCCCACTCCTGATGCCCTGGTGAGATACTCCCTAGCTAAAACATAAGCCACTTTGGGCATGATCAGTGAAGTCTCAGGAGGGTGAGACCCTGTCTGGCTCAGACTACAGGGTCCACTGTGTTAACACAGGTTCCTGATACAGAAAGAAGGTGCACTACTGTCTGAGTTAGGGTTTCTACTGTTGTGAAGGGATATCAGGACCACAGCAACTCTTATAAAGCAAACATTTAATTGGGTGGCTTACAGTTCAGAGGTTCAGTCCATTAACATCATGTTGGGACACAGTGGTGTGCAGGCAGACGTGGTGCTGGAGAAGAAGCTGAGAGTCCTACATCTTGCAGGCAACAGGAAGTGGACTGAATGTCACACTGAGAGAAGCATGAACAAAAGAGACCTCAAAGCCCACTCCCATAGTAACACACTTCCTCCTAAAAGGCCATACCTAGTTTAACAAGGGCACACCTCCTAATAGTGTCACTCCTTTGGGGAGCCATTTTCTTTCGAACTACCACAACTACTAAAGTGAAGACACCTCTGGAGGACACTGAACATTTGTGACAGATAGGCTTAATCACAGCATAAACCACAGTAAAGACAAGAGTCCACAACTGAGTCAGCTCCCACCCTTGTACACAGACCTGAAAGTCTCTGAGTGATATGGCTAACTGAGGTCTCGAGAGGAGACTGCTCAATAAGATCCTCAAATACAACCAAAAGGGACATTCTAGCAGATGATCAAATCACAAGGAAGAAATGTAAGAACATGAGAAATCTACAAAGCACAACTCTTCAGAAACACCAGAGTGGGTGCAATGCCAGGAGATTTAAAGTTTACTGCAAGAAATGACCACTGTGCAGGGCGGTGGTGGCACATGCCTTTAATCTCAGTACTCAGAAGGCAAAGACAGGTGGATCACTATGAGTTCAAAGCTTGCCTGGTCTACACAGTGAGTTCCTGGACAGCTAGAGCTACATAGTGAGACCCTGTCTCAAACAAACAAAAAAAGAAATCAACAACTGCAAATGCCAGACTAATTCAACCCAGGACCTAGGAAGGAAAGTCAGCAGTATAAAACAATAGTCACGGCCTGAGGAGATGGCTCAGTCAGGAAAGTGCCCACACAGAATCATAGAGATCTGTGCTCAGATCCCCAGCACCTACAGAAAAGGTAGTGTCTGCCTGTAATCCCTGTGCTAGGGAAGTGAAAATGGGGAACCATCTTACCGAAGTCAAAATGGCTATCACCAAAAACACAAAGGAGGGCTGGGAATACACGTCAACAATTCAAGGGTATGATGAAAGAACTCTTACAAACTCCCGATAGGAATGTAAACTTTGTGCAGCCACTATGGAAATCAGTTTGGAGGTTTCTCAAAACTGAAATAAACAAACAAACAAACAAACATAACAAGTGGGGACTAACTGTACCAATTCTGGGTATATTCCTGAAGGACTAACTAAGTCAACATACCATAGAGATACTTGCACATCCACATTCATTGCTGCTGTATTCATAAGAGCTAGAAAGTACTACACAATCTTCAGTGAATGGGTTAAAAAACAACAACAACATGGTACATATATGCGATGAAAGATTAGTCACACAGAAAAATGAAATGACATTTGAAGGAAAACGAATGGAACCAGGAAATACTACAAACAGCAATATTGCCTGTCTTCTCTCTCTCTCACGTAGATGGAGGTTTGTGTATGCCGTGCTATTAGAAAGGGGCCCATGAAAGAGGAAGACAAAATCGTAAGGGATGTGGGAAGGGAGAAAGGTGAGGGTAACGAACATCTGTGGTACGAAAGCACAAGCAGGGACTATTTGGAGGGAGGAAGAGGGTGGGCAAGAAGGGGGCAGCAGAAGGGGAAGACCCTGTACTAGCATAATGTATAACGACACAAATATGTGCAAATGCCATAACGAGACCTGTTAACTGTGAACGCTAACTTACATGGTTTAACAGATAGATTAGATATAGACAGACAGGTAAACAGATACATAGATACCGAGTGAAAAAAAAGAGAAATGTAACTACTAAATACTTTTAGTATTTTTGCCTTATATATGCATATATAAAGCAACAATCACCAAGTATATTCTAAACAACTACTACATGGAACACCAAATTAAATAATATAAAAAGAATATACTAATATTTACAGTAAATATAGTCATGTTCTTTGATACAGCTATTATCAAATTGTTCTTACTCAGCTGAAATAAAGGATGATACAAAAGTGACCCAGAATTATAGAAAGGTTAGGGGAAGAGAGATAAGAAACTAAGCTGGGTATCTTTTTTTTTTTTTTAAGATTTATTTATTATGTATACAGTGTTCTGCCTGCATGTATGCACTACAGGCCAGAAGAGGGCACCAGATCTCATTACAGATGGTTGTGAGCCACCATGTGGTTGCTGGGAATTGAACTCAGGAACTCTGGAAGAGCAGCCAGTGCTCTTAACCACTGAGCCATCTCTCTAGCCCCTAAGCTGAATATCTTTTCATCTTGACTTAAGTCTCCAAATGAATGAAACTGTAAATTACAAACCAGTGATTCACATATGATAGTCAATTTTAGTAATCTTCATGGAATTAAGAGGTCAGACTCCTTTTAAGAATTGGCATAATATCTGTAAATGGTGGCACAGACCAATAAATCTCAGCATTCTGGAGGCTGAGGTGGGAAGGTCATTAGTTGGAGGCTGGTCTAGATCACACAGGGACACACCCTCTCAAAAAAAAATCATAAACACAATCTATAGTAAATACTACTACTTAATCAGTGAAAAGTAAGATTTTATAATAACTAGGCTTTTCCCACTCTTCCTCAACTCACCTACTAGAAAGTTTCTATAAAAATTGGATAAAACCATGAGTCAGAGAATGATTAATCTACTTTTTCATCTGTCTGCTTTCATACACTAAGACTTGGCATTCAAAATGAAATTCTACAGAAGAGGAGAGATTGTTTTTATTTTCTCTCAAGCTTATCTAAACACAATTTTGAGAATTAGAAAATGGACACTGTGACACACATATCACTGGGATGGAACTCACCACTTCTTAGGCTTTGACAATGGTTTGTACTTGCTGTATTTTACACGCCACTCAAGAACTTCTTTGCAGCGCTGACACACTCCATCATGAAGTTTGGCATTAATTTTCTAAAAACAAATAAAAATACATAAATTAAGAATCACATCCATAAGCCAATATGGCAAGTCCCATTAAAAAGGTTCATGGGAATGTTTTAAAAATAACCTTGAGTGGGCAAATGTCTCAGCAGGTAAAGGTGCTTGCCAACAAGCCGGAGGACCTGAGTTCAATCCCCTGGACCTACATGGTTGAAGGAGAACCAACTCCTGCAAGTTGTCTTCTGATTTCCAAGTGCAGGCGATGGAGCACACACCCACACGTGCACACACATAAATAAAAACAATTAAAAAGTTAAATGCAGTAACCTAACTTTTATCTATGTAACAGTCCATGACATAGCATGTGCTCTATGTATATTACTCAATTTGGTTCCTTAAAAGCCAATAGTTCCTAACCTGCCAACATGTTAAAGAGTTTCCAAGGTGACATTGAGAACATCTTCCTCATTGGCCCTGATGATATGGATATTGGATAATTAAGACACATGGATTGTACTGTTTGTAAACTAAACCTACATAAAAATCTAATAAGAGAAACACAAGATTATTATTTTAACAATTCAAATTCTACCAATGACTCTGAATTAAACTGAAAAATCAGAATTATCAGTTTATTTGGGATGGCAGTAACTGAAAGTTAAGATGTGCCAGTGAGAAACAAGCAGGAAGCCAAAGGGTATTTTGTTTCTTTTTTTCTCCTATGTAAGGAAAATGTTTTAAAAGGTTCCTTGGAGGCCCAGCCTTAAACAAACAGAACTCCTCCAGCTCTCTTGGTTTTATGAGAATACAACATGAATGTACACATGATGTAAATATGGACAGCTAGTAAAGAAAGGACTATATGAGGAAAGAAAACATTTAAGACTTTATTATCAAAATGTGTTTGTATGAACAGGCAAGAGTTTAAATGTACCCTAGGTCCTCTGTAATAGTTTCGTATCTTATGTAAGACATGTTCACATGCTACAGAATTTAGGTTCTGAGAATTCTCTCATTTCTTTTGATGAAAGAGGAAGGCTGGTCTTTGCCCATTGTTGGAAAGGATGTTTGCCATTGTAAAGGACATTTTCTTTTCTCTTTTTGTTTCCTTGGTAAAATTTCTCCAAGGGAAAAAAAAAGCACATCACACACGATGCAGATTCTTTGGGTGACTATTCCATAATGAGTTAAAACACAGTATTTGGACTAGGTCAGCTGAAGCAAACAACTGGAAAGGCCCTGCTAGCCATAAAAGCTGATGAGGAGGGCTGGAGAGATGGCTCAGAGGTTAAGAGCACTGCTGCTCTTCCAAAGGATCTGGGTTCAATTCTTAGCACCCACATGGTGGCTCACAACTGTCTGAAACTCACATTCCAGGGGATCTGGCATCCTCACACTGATATAGATGCAGGCAAAATCCCACTGTACATAATAAATAAATAAATCTTTAAAAAAAAAAAAAAAGCTAGGGGCTGGAGAGATAGCTCAGCAGTTAAGAGCACTAGATGCTCTTCCAAAGGACCCAGGTTCAATTCCAGGCACACCCACATGGCAGCTCACAACTGTCTCTAACTCCAAGATCTGACACCCTCACACAGACATACATGCAGCCAAAACACCAATGCACATAAAGTAAAAATAAATAAATTAAAAAAAATAAAAGCTGATGAAGGTGAAGTAATCTGACAAAACTTTTATTATAAGAGATTATATTTCAAGGGCATTTTCAACATCCATAAAGTATGCTTTAAATACTTAATGTCTCAGCTGAACTCTCGTGAAGAGTACACCGTTACTTATGAACTACGCATGGGTTGGTTTATTCCTTCCTTCCTTCCTTCCTTCCTTCCTTCCTTCCTTCCTTCCTTCCTTCCTTCCTTCCTCCCTCCCTCCCTCCCTCCCTCCCTCCCTTCCTTCCTTCCTGGCATAGCAATAGACAGACCCAGGCAAAGCAAGTTTAGCATGTCTCCCTCTGTTTATTGTCACCATGCTATACTATAGAGAAAGCTTCATGCCCACACCAAGCCCCTCTGCTCACTGTCACCATGCTCTACTATAGAGAAAGCTTCATGCCCACACCAAGCCCCTCTGCTCACTGTCACCATGCTCTACTATAGAGAAAGCTTCATGCCCACACCAAGCCCCTCTGCTCACTGTCACCATGCTCTACTATAGAGAAAGCTTCATGCCCACACCAAGCCCCTCTGCTCACTGTCACCATGCTCTACTATAGACAAAGTTCCGTGCCCAGACACCAAACCCCTCTGTTCACTGTCACCATGCTATACTATAGACAAAGTTCCGTGCCCACACACCAAGCCCCTCTTCCTCTGCACCCTGGCACTTAGTTGACCCATACAGGGATGGTTAAGAGGGGCAGACTTCAAATTCATAATTTGTCAACGGTCTTACATTATCTGCTGCTTGAAATATCTTACAACTTGTATTTGTGTCATTTAACAATTGTAAGACCACATTAATGGCTTTGAACCAAAGTTACAATGTGAAACAAACTTTCTAACTGGAGTAAGTATCTGAGGATGCAGGAAATTTCATTAGCTGCAGTTGTAGTACATTAACATACACTGCTTGCCAACCAGGAAGCATTAGTTGGTTTCTTGTTTGTTTCTCTATACAATTTCTGACCAGTTCTTCTTGATTTATGAAGCCCTGCGTAATTTGGAAACTGGTTTCCTTAGGGTGGATCAACTGCAGAACAAAACAGGTCTTTGTGGGAACCTGTTCTGAGTGATTGGTAGCATAAACGGAAATCTTGCGTAGGGGTCACGTGACCAACTGGAACTACTACAAAATTAACTTGGTTTTTATGTGTTAAGAAATGAATGAGGTTGGCAACAAAGACTATGTTCACTTAAAAGTACATACATACAGAAAGAGGGCAATTCCAGAGAGGTGAGCAGAGACAGCCAGATCCTACTTCTAGGAATTGTTCCGTGTCGGGCAAAGGAGATGGCAGTCTTACCTCACACACTCCTATCTATGTCTAATCCTCCTTCGGCAACTTGTTTTAGTATGTCCCTCAAGGTAGACGGTCACAGGCTACTGTGCAAATGTAAATTAAAACTTGGTTTATGCCGGGTGGTGGTGGCACACATCTTTAATCCCAGCACTCCAGAGGCAGAGGCAGGTAGATCTCTGAGTTCTAGGCCAGCCTGATCTACAGAGTGAGTTCCAGGACAGCCAAAGCTACACTTAGAAATTCTATCTTGAGAAACCAAAATAAATAAGTGTGTGTGTGTGTGTGTGTGTGTGTGTGTGTGTGTGAGAGAGAGAGAGAGAGAGAGAGAGAGAGAGAGAGAGAGAGAGAGAGAAAGAGAGCGAGCAAGCTTGGTTTATAAGAAAGATCAATCCGTTCAACAGGCTGCTTTCTAGATCTTTTATTTGTTTTTCTGTTTTGAGACAAAAGTCTTGCTATGTTATCCCAGGTTGGCCTTAAACTCATGACAATCTCCCTGCCTCAATGTCCTAAGTGTAGGGATCACAGGTATACCCCAACACACGTAACTTCCAGATTTTTAAAGGAGTAAAATTGTACATACTTAGGAATTAGTTGCAGAGAATCAGGTACAGAAAAATGAAATGAATACTTCTTAAAAGTCAAAATAAATGTAGCACATCAAAAGATACTCCTAGTGGAACATAGAGATAACGCCTTAAAATGCCTTTGCTTATCAAGCCATACCAGCATCTGTTACCATGTAATTATCTCTGCTACGAATAGTCCATTGCCAGACAACCAATCTTCCATAATGGAATCCCAACTAGGAACTGGGTGAGCATTTAGAGTCTTGGAAGGTAACAAGAGCAAACTAACTACAACATGTATCAACACGTAGATGAGCCTTTCACAAGTTATAAAGTATCACTTAACAGAAAGAGATACCATTTGGAAGAGGAAAGGAATTTAAAACAACTAGTAATTTTTCTTTAGGATTTTTTTGGTATGAGGTAATTATTTCAGCAGTGCTGAAATCAAAACAATTGCAGATATCATGTTTCATTTCTCTTAATTGGAAAAAAAATTCTTAAAGGAAAATGTCTATTCCAATTGCTGCCAACAGGGATCACCATAGATGGGCCTGACAACCTTGCTGCAGGTAAGTAAGGAGTTTTACTCAGAGATTACTGCTACTCTGAAAATAGGAACCTTTATGTTAATTATATTTAAAGTGCTCTGTGGGGGCGGGCAGAGACTGGAGAAGGAGGGAGGGTGGGGGAGAGAGGGCAAGTGTGTGTGCTTGCTCTGGTATTGGGGAGTGACATCTTGAGTGCATGTGTTATTCACATAGGCATGGCCTCAGGCCCATGAAGGAATGCCAAGGCCTTCTCCCTGGGGTGAGGATGAAGCATGAGAAAGCCTTAAATCCTCTGGTCATAGGTCTATAAAGAAGGCCCTGTACATCACAAGACCATCTTGAAGAAATATTACTATCAACTGAGCCCTTCTACCACGGAAGTGTCAAATCTGCACAAAAGTTGAAACAATCTGGTGTGGTGGCTCATGCCTGTAAGCTAATAACACTCAGGAGACTAAGGCACATGCATTTAAAGCCAGCTAGACTACAAATTGAGACTATCTCAAAAATATATGTGTATTTATGCATGTCGATGAAGATATGTATATGTACGTACATGACTTGACTTCTACATCTAGCTACAGGCAGAATGCCTAAAAACAAGCACAGTTTGCCCCTCCCCTTTCCATGTGTGTACATACTTGCAGAAAGTTACAGACACGGAGGCATTTTTCAAAGTAGCCATAAATTTTGTGAAGCCATACATTTCCCAAATGCCTTTTAGAACTTGAAACTGTAAAATCTATTTTGTCTGCAAAGGCATGCAGCACGCTCACTGCGGCTTGAGTTTGCATTTCTCTACCATCACAGCGCTGCACTTCTTTTCTGCAATGCAACCTCTTGGTTGAAGCATCTGCTTACAGTCTTCTGCCCAGCTGTCTTCTATCAGACTCTTCATGTTCTGTACTTATTCTGAATATCAGCCCTTTGTCA